GAAATTCTATCCTGCTTCAGTAAGCAGACATTCTTTTTGTGATTGGCTAAGTCAGAGGGAGGGGCCTTTGTTGTTCCAAGATGGCAGCCCCCAGGGGGAGCGGTGAGCCATGGGGCCAACATGGCGGCTGCCAAGTCACGCAGCCCAACATTGTGGCTGTCTACACTGTTCTCTGACAGAAAAGATGATTTCCTTATTCTCACAATAAACAAGGGAAGAGCAAACCAAAATCCCTAAAAGATAGATGGCCAACATTATATTGTAGACAAACAGAAATCTCATTAGCTGTTTATACCTTTTATAATTATCTTAAAGAATATCAATAAAATTTAAACTGGTTTTTGTATTAAAAATTTCAGTTAAGATCACAAAATTAATCCTCTTTTTTAAATCAGACCAAGAAGTAACATATTTTGAATTCCTAATCATTTAAGAGAAAACACATTTTATTTTTTCAAAAACAATTTATACATTAGATATTTAATTAATTTTCCTGATTCAATTTGCATTTTAAACTTTCAGAGCTTTAAATCTTAGGTAGCAAATTAAATGCTTAGCATTTTTCAAATCAATACTTTTACATTTAAGGATACATTTCAAATAAAATATAAGGCATTTTCAATTAATAGATTAACTTCTATCTTCTAGACTTTATACTAGGCATACTCAGATCAACATTTCAGTATTATAAGTCTCAATACTTTTAGATGATTTGAACTTAAAAGTTTTAAGTTTCCAGCCAATAAGCCTGGCATAGCTGCTAAATTTCAAAATGGTCACAATTTTCCTGCTGGGGAAGTCAAGAAGCAAAACCATAGCTATTCACATGTAAACTTGACTATCAACTTCCTGGTGGTACTTGCCTCAGGGCGGGAAATTTCAAAAGAGCTACTTTAAATCGCCTTGGGAAACCAGCCTGCATTTCTTTCTCAGGTTCAACTTTGCCATTGTTAAGGCCAAAACAGTCTCGGGTTTTTATTCTGTACACAGCAAAAGGTCAAGTTCAGCTCAAAACTATGCGCACTCATTTTTTAAGCTGGCCTTTTCCCTTTACATGTGCACAGAAATCCCGGATGCATTTATAAATTTGTAAAAGCTTTTCAATTACAAGAAGGACTTTAATTTTAGATTACTTGGGGAGGGGGCGTCCATATTGGATCGCCACGTGTTCCCTTCTTCCCTTCCCTCACATCCAGCTTTGGGGGAAGTTTCAGCAAATGACTCAGATGGCGTATTTTTCCCAAAGTCATGCTTAATAGAAAAAGACATTTTAAGTTTTTCCCTATTTCGCTTTCTAAAGTCATGGCTAGCACCCAAGGTTATCTTAGCCAAAGTTTGGTTGTCATAAGATGTTCTCCGGTAATTTTTAAATAAAACATTAAGTAATCTTATTGCAGGAGAGCTTATAGCTCTGCCTTTTCCTGCCACCTTTGAATCTCTCCACACCAGGGAGAGATTCGGCAGCGGGGTTTCATTTCTTATTACAGATAGATTCCAAATACAAATTAAGATTTTAATTTGGGTAAGAAAACACATTAAGATGACCATGGCACTCTTTTTTCAGCCTGATCTAAAAGAGTACCTTTTTCAAGAAAAACAAAGGTTATGTTCTATTATAACATGCAAAAACTGTAAAAGATTACCTTCTAAAATTTTAATACTTTAAACATGCAAATCAAAAGTCTATAATAAAGTTTCTTACTGTTTTAAAAGCCAAATATACCTTTTTAAAGCCAAATTTACTTTTTTAAAGCCAAATCCTGCCCCGTTTGTTAGCCTGGTTAAGAAAACGTTCCCAGTTTGCTTACAGACCCGGGCTTCTGTAGTTGATCCTGGGCATTGCGTGCGGTAGACTTCCCCTCACCTTTTTTTCGGTGAGTTTTCCACACCTTTTCGGTGAAAACTTCCTTTTCTCGCTCCAGCGAGGCCTGCACTTCCAGATTACCCATCGGGCGCCAGATGTTGAGTAAGACTCCCTCCACGTTCTGCATGGAGTAGGGTTCAGTATCTGAAAGAGGAGCCACACAGCAAATGAGAGAAAAAGACACGAGATAATTTTGCAATATTGGGGGACCAGGTGGCAATCCCAAAGGACTTCCTTCTGTGCTCAGGCCTCACCAAACTTTTATTGATCTGGGATGCACCCATAGCATAGCCCTTAGGCAGGTGACCCCCTAGTAACAAGCAGACTAGCCCTCAGCAAGGATTTACATAATAATAAATGGGGGAGTAGTTTCAGCTACCACTGTCTGGACAAACAGAGGTGGTGCCTAGCTCTGAGCTTTGCTAGGGCTTCAAAGGCACCCAGCCTTCGGTGGGTTTCGGGGAGTTCTCTGTCTATGCTTATCAGATAGTGAAGGCAATAAATAGTTTCCCACACCTCTATCTCTTTTTTCAATGTCCTGTAGTTTTCTGAGTACAGGTCTTTTACCTCCTTAGTTACGTTTATTCCTAGGTATCTTAATATTTTTGGTGCACTGGTAAATGGGATTGTTTTTTTCATCCCTCTTTCTGTAAGTTCATTATTGGTGTATAAAAAGGCCATAAATTTCTGGGTGTTAATTTGTATCCTGCTACATTGACAAATTCATTTATTAGGTCTAGTAGTTTCTTGATGGAGTCTTTGGGGTTTTATATTTATACTATCATGTCATCTGTAAATAAAGACAGTTTTACTACCTCTTTTCCAATTTGGATGGCTTTTATTTCTTCTTCTTGTCTGATCGCTATGGCTAGCACTTCAGTACTATATCAAACAGGAGTGGTGGAATCCTTGTCTTGTTCCTGTTCTTAGGGAAAATGAGTTTATTTTTTGCCTATTGAGTATGATGTTGGCTGTAGGTTTGTCATATAAGGCTATTATTATGTTGAGGTATGATTCCTCTATTCTCACTTTGCTGAGAGTTTTTACTAAGAAAGGGTGTTGGATTTTTTTCAAATGCTTTTTCTGCATCGATTGGTATTATTGTGTGATTTTTGTCTCTCAGTTTATGTGATGTATCACATTTATTGATTTGCGGATATTATACCATCCTTGCATCCCCAGAATAAGTCCCTCTTGGTCGTGGTGTATGATCTTTCTAATGTATTGCTGAATTCGATTTGCTAGAATTTTGTTGAGGATTTTAGCATGTACATTATTCTAAAATATTGGCCTGTAGTTCTCTTTTTTTGTGGTGTCTTTATCTGGTTTGGGGATTAGGGTAATGCTGGCTTCATAGAAAGAGCTTGGAAGTGTTCCTTCCTTTTGGATTTTTTGGGATAGTCTGAGGAGGATAAGTTTTAGTTCTTCTTTAAATGTTTGGTAGTACTCCCCTGTAAAGTCATCTGGACCAGGGCTTTTGTTTGCTGCAAGATTTTTGATCACTGCTTCAATTTCTTCAGTAGTTATTTGCTTATTCAGGTTTTTTTTAAATTATTATTCTTGATTGAGTTTTTGCAGCTTGTATCTGTCTAAGAATATGTCTATTTCATCTATGTTGATCATTTTGTTGGAATAGAGTTGCTCATAGTATTCATAATCATTTGTATTTCTATGGGATCTGTTCTATTTTCATCTCTTTCATTTCTGATTTTGTTTATTTGGGTCCTCTCTCTTTGCTTCTTGGTGAACCTGGCTAGAGGTTCTTCAATCTTGTTTTCAAAGAACTAGCTCTTGGTTTTGTTGATCTTTTGTATTTTTTTGGTCTCTATGTCGTTTATCTCTGCTCTGACCTTTATTACCTTTATTATTTCCTTCCTTTTGCTTATGCTGGGTTTTTCTTGTTGCTCTATTTTTAACTCCTTGAGTTGTAGGGTTAGATAATTTATTACCATTTTCTCTTGTTTTTTGAAGTAGACCTGTAGAGCTATGAACTTCCCTCTGAAGACTGCTTTCACTCTGTATCATAGATTTTGGATTGTTGTGTTTTCATTGTCATTTGTTTCCAGGATGTTTTGATGTTTTTAATTTCTTCTTTGATCTCTTTGATAACCAAATCATTGTTTAATAGCATGCTGTTTAGCCTCCAGGTGTTTGATCTTTTTTATTGTTGATTTCTAGTTTTATGCCATTGTGATCTGAGAAAATGCTTGATATGATTTCTATCTTCTTGAATTTGAAGAGACTTTGCCTGTGTCCCAACATTTGGCCTATCTTTGAGAATGACCCATGTTTTCTTGAGAAGAATGTATATTCTGTGGCTTTAGGGTGAAATGTTCTGAAGATGTCAATTAATTCCATCTTATCTAATGATTTATTTAGGATTGATATTTCTTTGATGATTTTTTGTTTAGAATTTGTCTAGTGGTGTTAGTGTGGTATTAATGTCCCCTACTATGATTGTATTACTGTCAATCTCTCCCTTGATATCCTCCAGAAGGTTTTTTAGGTATTTGGGTGCTCCTGAATTTGGTGGTATGTTTACCAGAGTTATATCTTCTTGTTGAATTGCTCCATTTAGTATTATGAAGTGGCCTTCCTTATTTTTTGTTATGGCCTTCACTTTAAGGTCTAATTTGTCAGATATAAGCATTGCTACCCCAGCTTTTTTTTTTTTCATTTCCATTCGCCTGAAAAACCTTTTTCCATCCCTTCACCCTCAGTCTGTGTGAGTCCTTTGTTCTGAGGTTTCCTGTAGACAGCATATATATGGGTCATGTTTTCTTATCCACTCAGCTACCCTATGTCTTTTGATTGGGGTATTTAATTAATTTACATTTAAAGTTATTATTAATAGGTACTTGTTTTTCACCGTTTTTATTTTTATACCTGTGTTCCTTCCTATTTCTTCTTTTTACAGCAGACCCTTTAGCATTTCTTGTTTGGTGGTAATGAACTTCCTTAGTCCTTTTTTTGTCTGTGAAGCTCCTGATTTCACTCTCAATTTTGATTGATAGCTTTGCTGGGTACAGTATTCTTGGATTCAGACCCTTGCTTTGCATCACTTTATATATTTCATTCCATTCCCTTCTGGCCTGATGTGTTTCTGTTGAGAAATTAGTTGATAGTCTGATGGGAGAAAAATATGGAACTCTTCATGTATTTACGTGTCAGCCTTGTACAGGGGACATGTCCATATTCTCTGTATCGTTCCAATTTTAGTACATGGGTTGCTGAAGTGAGCACTGCATTCTGGTTATTAATTTGTGCAGTTATTCAGCATCTGGTCAGTTAATGTTCAAGAAAAAATATTAATTTTTATAAAAATGATCTATTATTTTATGTTAATGATTACTCATTTATTTTAGCCCTTTGTATTTATCATATCTCTATCAAAATAAATATACATTTCTATGAAGATTGAAGCTTTTGGGTTTTTTGTAGCCCACAGAACCTTAAATCTTGTTTACTTGGCCCGTGTTAGCCTTTGAGTTTGACATGCTTGACCTAATCCTAGAGGGTATGATTCTGAGTGAAATAAGTTAGTCAGGAAAAGACAAATACCACATGATTTCACTTAGATGTGGAATATAAAGAACAATATAAATGAGCAAACAACACAGAAACAGACTTATAGATACAGAGAAGAGACTGATGGTTCCCAGAGGGATGCGAGCTTGGGGGACTGTGTGAAAAAGGTAAAGGGATTGAGAAGCACTGATTGGTAGTTACAAAATAGTCATGGGGATGTGAAGAACCATATAGGAAATACTAGTATAGTCAATAATATTTTAATAACTATGTATGGTGCCATGTGGTACTGGAAATATCAGGGGAAACACTTTGTAAAGTATGATTGTCTAACCACTGTGCTGTACACCTAAAACAAAATAATATTGAACGTGCCCTAGCAGGTTTGGCTCAGTAGATAGAGCACTGACCTGCAAACCAAAGGGTCCTGGATTCGATTCTGGTCAAAGGCACGTACCTTGGTTGCAGGCTCCTCCCCATCCTGTGCCCTGGTCTGGGCTAGTGCAGGAGGCAACAAATTGATATGTTTCTCTCACATCAATGTTGCTCTCTGTCTTTCTCTCTCTCTTCCACTTTCCCTAAAAATCAATGGAAAAATATCTTTGAGTGAGGATTAACAAAACAAACAAACACAAAAATATATTGAATGTAAACTGTAATTTTAAAAAATTTTAAAGAAAAGAGTAAAAAGAAAAGTAAAATAAAAATAATAAATAAGAGTATCAAATAACTGTGGAACAATATCAAATGTAACATGTATATTTGGTAGAAAACAGGCAAAATAAATATTTGAGGAAATAATGGTTGACAACTTTTCAAAATTGATGCCAGACACTAAACCTTTAGATACATCAGAAAATTCCTAAGCAATAATGAAAGGAAAACACTGAGATGTGTATAATGAAAATACAGAAAACTGAAGAGAATCTCTTAAAGCCAGAGGGGGGAAATCCTTACTTACAGAGAGAAATGTTGAATTTAGCAAAATCTTGTCCAATTTATTAGAAATTAAAGATAAGGCATGAAATCCATTGGATAAGCTAGTTTGTGACCTTCCTTCAAGCTCGGAGCATACTTTGAAGATATATTGCAATTATATTTTCTAATGTATAATAGAATAATTATTATTTAATAATGCATTGTTTATTTTTGTTTCTTAATGATTATGATATTTTAAATTTACCTGTTTTATTAATGTAAAGTTTTAGACATTGCTGTGATTTTCTAAATCTTATAAACAAACATTTGATTTTGCATCCTTATAGAGCTGACATCAAACACAAGAATATATCAATCAGGAGGTGTTCTTCACAGTGGCCCCATTGCTAGTTATGTCCATGTGAATCAATTGTCTTAGTGAATATTTATTTATTATTATTTCATTTGTTTAATTGGAGAGGAACAGTTGTTATCATAAGCTATAGAATCAAGCATACCAGAGTTGAGTGTTCTGGACTGAAATAATAAGCAAGTGTAAATCCTGAATTTGGCTTCTAAAATTTTTATTTTTTCATGGAATGGGAAAGTCATGTTGTCCAACTATTCTTCTGTACCACATGTGATGGGTGAGAGGAGCGGCAAATAGCATCATGTTTTATTTTGTTTTTTTAATCCTCACCCATTTGGTTTTTTCCCATTGATTCTTAGAGAGAGTGGAGGGGATGGGGGGAATGTGGTGAGAAAGAGAGAGAGAGAGAGAGAGAGAGAGAGAGAGAGAGAGAGAGAGAGAGAGAGAAACATTGATGTGAAAGAGGCATATTGATTGGTTGTCTCCTGCATGCGCATGGACTGGGACCAGAGATCGAACCTGCAACCCAGGTATGTGCCCTTGACCAGGAATGGAACCCATCACCCTCAGTGTGCAGGTCGACGCTCCAGTAACTGAGCCACACCAACCATTAAGTTAAAAACAACTAACATGATGATCTTCTTTTAAATATAGCAACAGTCTCCATGCTACTAGAGTGAATTCTAGGTAAGGGAAGGTCTCAAGCACTGTGTTCAGCCCTGGCAAGATCTGGGACACAGTGTTTATTTCTAGATGGCATCATTCCAAAGGGCTGTTTATAAAGTGTAGTGAAGGATCTAGAATTAAAAACACTATGTGGGAGGGAGGAGGGGGGCACTTATTAAAATTGTGCTCTTCTACAAAGATAAAAGAAGGCTCATCGTAGATATTATTGCTGCCTTTTAAGTATCTACAGTTCATCATATTGATTATGTAGTAGATGTGTTTTCATTGCTCTTGAAAGACAGAATTACAAACAACTGTCAAAAGTTACAGAAAATAGCCAACTGGCTTAATGTAAAATGGACATTTCCACCTTTCAGTGCTCTCCATCAGACATTCCTGACTACTGCTTCTCCAGAATGGTGTAGAATGTGGGAGGTTAGAACGGTGGAGTTCTCTTCTTACTCAGAGTCAGTGGTTTAAAATTGTCTCTGCTCACAGTCAGTAAAATTTTGTAGTAAATTTGTTGGTAAACAATCAATACTATAGTTACAAATTAAAAATTATTATTCCTTGCTTCATGGGTTAAAACCAACTTGGTTAATTATAATAAAATGTAAAAACATATATTAAAACAGGTTATAATCCTTTGTTTAAGTTTGCTAATATTTTCTTGTTAAAGTGACTACATAAAAGTTAATGGAATATTCTGATGCCAGGCAATATTTTATTAAAATCCACATTTTCTAAACATGTTGACATTTTCTTTAAAGTTAAAGTATTAAGAAAAGTGTAAAGTTTACCCAGAGCTTATGAAAGCTGTCACCACAACATTATTTGCACATTAAGTAGAATTCAAGGTAGTTGCAGCTGGAATCATTCCCACTTTTTGCCATATAATCATATATTTGAAGACATTTTCTAGTAAAAGGAAAGAAAATATAATTAACTTGAAAGATTGGATAAATTATCTTTTACATGAAGTATATGAGAAAAATATTTTCATGTGGTGGTGAGGCACATGAAAGTTATGCTTTAAAGTTATACTCTTTTACTAAATTTTATCAGAAATAAAGGTTATATTTCATTTTTACTATTTATTTTATATTATTTTTTTCTGTCACCATTTATCCCCTCTATACCCTCCTCCACCCATTTGTTTGATTCACTTGTATGTAGTTTCTGTTTCTAGTCACCTTTTTCTAGTGCTGGTGTGAGGTTAACTCCCTGTGGAAATGTCCCTGTTGTCACACAGTGGGTGGTTTGAGCTTAGAGGACATACTAAGGACATAACAGAAGCTTGAACACATTGAGCTTCACATGGGAGGATAAAAGGTTTGCTTCAGTTAGCAGATTGGTACTAAATGAAGGAAAGAGAACGATGTATTGGGGAATGTTGTCAGTACAAACTAAGAGAAAGAGGAACTATTGGGCAGTATGGCCATTGACCTGGGCAGTTGGGGGAAGGGATAGTGAAGGGCTTATAGAGCAATGACTCATGGAGCCAGTTCTGGGGCCCTGTTGTAGGTAAAGAAGCTCAGATCAAACAGAAATTTCAGTCTTTACTCACATCTTCAAATACTTTATGAAGTCAAGTTAATTATCTCTTAATACCTACATTAATTCTCCTAAAGCAGGGGAAAACACACACTCTCATCAGTGCAAGCCCATTTCTATCATCCATTACCTCTCTCACTTCTCCTTTTCAAATTGGTTTCTCCCATGCTCTGCCTTTTATTCCTGTTAGGTCAGAGAGAGCCCAGAATCGGATACATGCAGACATGTGATGAGATAATGGACTCCCCCGGCATTTCTAACAGATCAGTGTGCCAGACACAGATACAGGCTTCTCCATGACCCCCACACAGATACTGACTCCTTCCTGAATACCTTGCTGACCCCCTGCAGCTGAAACTTCCTCAGCTGAATACCTCAGCTCATGTCCCCGCCCCTCACCCAACCGAAGTATAAAAAAAGCGCCCCCCTCCCTGTTGGTGTGAATCCACGTGCCCTTTCCTTGGGGGTACATGGGTCTCCTGGGGACACAGAATAAATTTTCCTTCCTTCCTTCCTCCCTTTTCTGATCAACTCTCTTTATTTCCTTTGCCGCCTCCTGAACCACCTAACCTAACAATTCCATTATTTATGCTTAACACTGCATTGCCACCTTCTCACATTTGTCCTCTGGGAACATGCTTCTTTTCTGCCTCAGTTGTCTTTATTGTTTTCTGGTCAGAGTCTGTTTATGCAGAACCCTTCCTTCTTTTTCTGCTGGCTAGGAAGGACATGTGGAGCCAAACCAGGCAGTTCCCAAATGCAACAATGAAGGGAGGCGGGGATACCCTTGAACCATTTTATCTTGTCAAAGAAGGAAAGTGGCTGCTGAAGTGGGTACTTCACATGTTGCTTTTATAAACCTTTTTGTGCATGTTGCCTGGTCACATCATATTCCAGGTCAGGGACCACAGGACCTGGTTCAATGTCCCCAACCTTCCATTAACTAGTGGTTGTCAGGGCTCCTAACCAGGTCTACTGACCAGGGGCAAGTTCCCTCATTTATCGGTGAAGATGGTTTAATAATAACAAATTCTAAAACTATTGCAAGAGTTGACTTATATATAAAGAGTAAAATATATTCTGTGAACAATATAACATAAGTTCTTAGCCTCAAGTGATTGGTAATTTCAATTGTACCTTCTAATACCCAGTTCGACCTGTTATGGGTGAACTTCCTTTATTTCGTTATTTTTAATTATATATAAAG